TATTCTTTTGTATGAAAAGCCTTCATTCAGACCTCCTGGATGGAAGAACTCAAGGCTAAAAATGACAAAAATCAGCAGGTTGGCAATGGCTGGGCAAAGCAGCCACGCCATATGCCTGTACTGTGGCTGGAAGGGGGCTGTTTCTTCTCACTGTGAGACGATCCAGAACACCTGTATCATGAAATTCCTGGAGGGGTCCAAATGCTATTGGACACCTCTTACAAACTGTTACAGACTTTTGAATATTAGGATAAGAGGCCCATTGAAGCTTAAAGGATTCCTGTGTACCTCTAAGTTCCTGAGGATCTAGGAGAAAACTGCCAGTACTTTATGTACTACGTTGTCCCTTTCGTACTGCTCCAGCCCATGCAGAGTTTTCTGCATGTATTTATATCAGCAACATCAACAAGCAAAGGAGAGCCAGGTTCTCTCTCTGACATGAGAAAGCTAAATATATCTGAGACTGGTAGTCCCATCCTGTCTACATCAGTCTTGCTGAAGCAGACGCCTGTCCGACGCACTGTCTTGGCATCATTTGTTGCTCACTACCTACACGTTGGCTGGATGACGGACAGAAAAGAAGAAAGAGAAAAAACCAAAACCTAACATAACCTGCTGCAGTTTAAACTGTTTTACTCCAAAACAGGAAACAGCTGAGCAGACTGACATCCAAGCTGGTCGCAGGATGTTTTCTCCCTGGGAACTTCAGCGACTACTTTCACTGTTGACAGATCCAGTGTCTGAGACACTGACCTCTCTGTTTTCCCTGGAACACAGTGATTGCCTCTCTGTCCCGAAGTTATGCTCACAGCCTCCGGTAGCTCTCAAATCCAACACAGCATCGTATTCTCCCATCTGTGCATTGCTTTCTCAACAGTCAAGGGACAGTCTTTTCCAGGGTGAAAGAATCTTGACCCAGTTTGGACTGTACTTGGGGTTTCCTATTCAAATGTGGGACTACTGCTGTCCTTAGTATTCAAGTAACAAAAATTGCTTTCTTAGTAATTACAACTTCAGTTGCAAAATAAAAACCTCATGACAGCGCCCCAGCATGTTCTTTCACTTCCTAATCCACATTTTTCCTTGAAATCATCTCTATACTAGTAAGCTAACCTGGTTCAGGGCATGAGTTTGAACACTGTCTCATGATCATCCTGTTAAGTAGCACTATTCTGGACAAGTTTCTGGCCCAGAACAACTACTACTGGACACAAACTGGTGATCATTCTCCACAGTATTTGCATTCAGTCACCCCTTTTCAGCCTTCAACCTGGCGTCACGTGAAGAGGCAGCAGACCGCTAGCTGAAAGGGTTCAAGAGATGACAAAGCAGTGAGTGACAGACTGTCCTCTCTAAGGTCAGCTATAAAGCCCATGCTATTTGCAAAGAGCCATAGTCACGATGTCTACTCGGAGAATTCCTGGCCTTGTCTGTGGCCATTCAGTTCAGATGGTGTGAACAAGGGCAGGAGATGGTTTTCAAGCACCAAAGTGGATACGTGCTTATTGTAGGCTGGGAGATCTGCGGTGTGAGTGGTCGTCCGTCACTTCCGTGGATGGAGTTCTTAGAAGCTACTGCAGTGTTCTGTGTGCATAGAAATATACACCAGCCACTAATAATGTCTGATATGTCTCTGCAGACACAACTCAGATGTGTGCTGAAGATAAAGAAAATGATCTTACTCCTCCACTTGAGCACTGTATTAGGACAAAGTAAGTGAAACTACAGTTTTTCATACAGATATATTCAGTTATTGATAATAGATAATGTACAGCTGGAGGGTGATAAAAAGCATTGCAGCAAGTAATCTTGCAAAATCACTGCTTAAAAATCAGAAAGGATCTCGATAGTCTGGGGTATGATAATACATATTATGCATTTAAATGTGTGTTATTGTAATTAACATCAAACTGGCTAAGGCATTCACTTCATTCTTACAGGAACTTTCATTACAACACCAAGAACTGACTGAGCCAAATTCAGCCTGGGAGTATATCTTGATTTCTGTAGATCTAAACCTAGATTCCCAAAAGTGATTGATTTCTATTGTAGAGTTATGATGGGGAGAAAGTTTCTTCCATCTTCATCAGTCTCTTCTGAAAAATGTAATTGCACTGGAGGACTTGGGTATAGTTCTCAATGCATGATGCCCTGTGCTAAACCGTCTCAGTTTTCTCAAACTTTTCATGTGTCTATGGGCAGCATAGATTTTCTCAAGATCAGAAGACGCTGTGTTTTGTGAAGTCATTCTTGACAATGCTTAGGTCATATTCTCTCCTGAAATAGAAGGCTGGTTTGTGTCATGTTGGGGTTTTCGTGACCATTTTCAGGTCTATATGATACTAAATAATGGACTTTTAAGCAATTTATCTAAGTCATACTAAAGTCAATGAGAACATTTTCAATTTAGTGAGACATGAAAGAAGCAAAATGGAGAAATTTAACTGGAGAGGAAAATCAGCTTTATATCAATTCTATCCGCACGACTTTGAAAGCTGCTATCTGAATATCTTTGGAGCAAGAAGTAAAAGCCTCATTGTCAAAGACCATAACATTTGTTAAATCAGCAAGCCAAGCAGCTTCAGATTTCTCTTGTTATTTCCCTCCTCCCCTGGCCACAATTTGTTCTGTAAAAAAACACCCCCCAAAAAAAGAGAAAAAAAAGTCAATGGCTGCCAAACTGTGGGGTCATGCAGGGCTGCCGTTATAAAATTACAGAAAAGTAGAAGAGGCATCCTGTAACATGACAGCAGTGGCATTAGCCCAAACTCCCTGCACATATAGATTGTATTCATCCTTCTGTTCACAGTGTTCCTCGGTGACGCGTAAGCATGACTACAAACTAAAATAAATAATATACAGCCTCAGAAACCCACGCGGTGTGGTTGAATAATGCATGCAACTACTCTTAGAAAATCTTCCATTCCTGGCATTGTATCAAAGTTATGCAGTATTTGTAATGGTGGTGTTTGTTTATTTTAAATTCCTTGCTTTTATCTACCGGACAAGTATATTACCAGCAAATTCCAGTGTCAATTTATTTTGTTTGTACCATTCTCAGGACCGATTTACCCTGATCAGTCTGGCTCCTTGTTTTCAGTATTCTCTATTTGCTTTAAGCGTATTTATTTAAGCACAGCCTTGTTGCTAAAGGTTTTTCTTGTTTTTTTTTTTTTCCTTTTAAGAACTTCTTCTTCCAGCTATGAAACAGTATGTAAGGAACAATAAAGACAAGCCAAACTAACCAATATTTTAACAAATTGGGAGGAAAAAACAAATGTTTCCTACCATACAACTATGGAAGGCACACCTAAACTAATTTTTAGTAAAGCAATCAAGCAAGTGAAGAGCTGTTATTTATTTTGACCAAGCATTTGTGATGAAACCTTTCTCTTCAAACAATGTAGGATAATTACTCAGGCAGCGTGGAGAATTTCAGTCTGAACAGTCAGAACTGAGAATATTAACTGTTGTTTCCAAATGTTGCTTGGGGTTTTTCCTTTCATTCACATGACTCAGTTCTATTTTAATCCATGAAAAACCTTACGCATTGTTTACCCCAATACCTGAACACCACTGTCCCGTAATGCATTGAGTTGTACACGAACATCTGTCTGCCATTTGTCCTTTTATCCTCTCCTAAAGAGAAAGCTACATATGCAATAGACTGTTTCTGTATTTAGTTTCTTTCATTATTATTGTTATCAGAGGAGAAGGGTTGTTTTGCTTCTACAGGAGGAGGCTCATGTTTTCAATCCCAATTCTGTAAAATGTCAGAAGAGCAAGATTTCAATTTATAGCAGGTAACACTTCAGATGTCTGGAACGATTAATCACCGACAGGTATCACTTTCACCTGCAGGCTCCCAACCAAAGAGTCTGTACAAGTAAATGTGCTTTTATTGCAGCTTTCAGCCCTAGACATCTGCAGAAGCAGTCAGATTCTGACCAAGAGATGTCTGGAATGTGCATCCCTGGGTTGTTTGGGAGATGCCGTGCAGACGCCTTATGCCGTTCTTCCCTGAAGAATACTCTTATATCACAGTCACGATCCTCAGCGTGTCTCTGCAGTGGCGGAAATAACATCTGTTAGCTCTGCCTGAGGGGAATAAAATTTTGATCTGATGCTATAATCTGAATTCCGTGGTATATTTTGTTAACCCTTTAGCATCAGCTGTCCTCTGTGATAGCGGAGCTGTATGATACATTAGTTATTGATTTGGCTTTGAAGCGAGACGTGGAGTGGAAATTGAGTGGGTAAGAGCAGGGAGGGGAGAGCATGGACATTTCATCCTGAATTGTCAGTGTGCTCTAAAACAATACCAAATGGTTAGTACAGGAGATACTCTCTGAATGTTATTCCAGACTGAGCATTGTTCAGGGCCTGAACCAGTTCCTCTTGGGTTCCCGTTAACTCCATGACCCTTGGGTGAGGTTGTAGTTGAACCAGATGGGTCAAGTGTAGTTTTCATGTTGCTTATCTGATAAATTGTAATTGAATCAGCAGCTAGAATCTGAGTTCTATTTGAATTACATTGTGGCAGGATAGATTGGGGAAATGATTACACTGAGTTATCTGAACAGTTTTGTTTCTGTCTATAAAGAAAATATTTGTTCAGCACCTGTGAGCGAGGTTCTTCACTGTTTGACATCTTTTCTTGTGCAGATTCAAAAGGTGAAAAAAGTTTTGAATCTGTCTTCATAGGAGCAGGCAGTCAAAGACTGCTTTTCCATCTAGAAACGGTTCAG